ATATGGCTTGTTATATATTCATAACATAGTTGATCAATGACTTCACTTAGTTCCTATTACAAGATTGTTTATATGTAACTTTATATTAATTTTATGATTCCTTTAATATTTGAAAAATAAAATACGAAACTTTATAAATACTTGCTTATTTTTCTTGATCTTTAATGGAGACTGCTTCTTTGATTAAAACAAAGTTGCTCAATATATTCTTCAAGGGGAACTCTGTTAGTGCTTCTTTGATAGATATGTCTTTTACCAACATCAATTAAACTGATTCGTAAATGTTTTTGAAATCTGGGTTTATTTCGTTGAATAATTTCTAGATTTGATGTGTACTGGTTATAAGTCCTAAAATTTTAAAGTTTTTTTGTGATTTTTAACTTTTAAGGGAGTTTTTGTAAATTTTATAACTTTGAGGTTTTTTTTACAAATTTTATTTTTTAAGTGACTGATGGTAATTCCTTAAATTTATCTATGTTGTTTGTAATTTTTAAAATTCCAGAATTTTAGGGTGTTTTCTTGTAATTTATACTTTTTGAGGTTGTTTCTACAGTTTTTGAAATGTTAAGGGTATTAATTGAAAATTTTAAACTCTTTGGGGACTATTGTTAATTTCCAGATTTTATTTTTATTTTTTTAAGTTTTGAAAAGTCAAGACGTTTTGTGTAATTTTAACATTTTGAGGGTATGTTGTGCAATTTTTGAAACTCTTTGGGTTTTTTGTAATACTTAATGTATTATAATATGTTAGATATGTTTCTTAATCTTTTTTGTGAACTGTTGTGCTATAGGTAGTTCACATAGGATTAGTATAGGATATAATTAGTATTAGGATAGAGTAAGATTTAAATAAAATATTCTAAATAACATTTCATGTATTTTATTAATATTTTTTTAAAAAAAATTGTTCTGCTATAGGTAGTTCACATTGGATTAGTATCAAATTAATTAGGCTTAGGATAAATTAATATTTAAAATAGTGAAGAACACTTTTGGCCATGAAAAACTTTTTCAAAACTCGTGATTTTAAAGGGAGTATATGATATGATATGATGTATGACTCATATTAATTGAGTGAGTTTCCAGTGTTACTATGATGGATGGATTGCGATTTTGATCTACATCCAATTAAAAGCTAGTAGCAATTTTTTTTAAATAAAAGAAAATGATAAACTGAATTTAATTTTTTTTTGTTGTATATCTGGAAATTAGATGGGATTTAACTCTAAAGTGAAAACAAAAGATTAAAATATCATATTTAAAATCCATTAAATTTGTTAAATTGAATGATATGATAATTTAAGGAAAAAAAAAACAAAGATGATAGGGACCATAAAAAGTTTTTTCTAAGCTCCCATCTTTAAAGAGGGTACATAATTTAAAAATACAAACCTAAGGGTTGCTATTAAATTATCAAAGAGACATCAGATCCCATTAGTATACCCTTCACCGACAATTTCCCCAAAACCCCCACCTGAGAAAGCCCTCCTCCGAAAATCAACTATCTAGAGGTAAACGTTTCTCTCTCTGCATCGATCAATCTGATCATAATTCGTTCTCTAGGCAAAAATTTCAAAGAAATATCGCTAAAAAGATCAGATCTTGGTACAGGTTAGATCTCATGGCGGCAGGTCCGGGGAGATCCATGCTCTACTCTCTTCTTCTCTTCATCATCATCCTCTCTCTCATGGAGATGTACAGAGGCAAGTTAGCATCTTCTGAGCTGCTGACAATTTTCGGTGGATTTATCAGCTCCCTCTTGTTCGTTGTGTTGCTGACGGTGAGCACTTGACTGCCCTAACATTTGTTCTGTCTGTTTCTAGCCCTTTCATTCATCGGTTTTAGGGGATTTAGGGTTTTAGATTGTTCATATGTTTCGAGACGGAATCAATCCTATATACACTAGGATTTAGGGTTGCTATTGTTCATAGTAGCTACATTGCTCTATTCCCTAGCTCTTATGGTCATTTTAGGGTTTTGGAGAGTTTGGTTTGTTGTTTCCTTGGAAAGATCGAATTTTGACGGCGAACTCTTGCTTGCCCTAAAATTGTTTTGTTTTATAGCCCTTTCAGTCGTTGGGTTTTGGATTTTTTGGTTTTGGATCGTGGGGTTTGCTGTTCCTTGAAAACATTGGATTTGACATTTTTTGATATTAAATACACATGCTTTGGCTTGCCTAGTTCATGTTAGGGGTGAATAATGTTGCTGTCCTTTTAGTCTCATCTTGACTAAATGGGGGCATCATTTGTGGCTTTATATGAGATTGGGTTGAATTCTCCCGGGTCTTTTTACAAATGGTATCGGACGCAACCCAGCTGCAGGTGAGCAGCACGGGTAGTGATGCTGGTATAACAATGTTTGCTTGAGCCTAGTGAAAAGCCAAATGAGTGAGGTGGGATTGCAATGCTTGTTTAGGAATATTCTAGTGCCAAGCTAGTTGACATGGTGGGGGGACTGCAGAAGCGTGGTAGTATGTTAAGGGTCCATTCTCCCCCAAATTTACTAGCTTTTAGGGGTTAGTTCTCCTAGATCTCTTGCAGTAATTTTGCTGTTAAAATTTGAACCTAAATTAGTCTACTTGCTTAGCTACTAATCTACACTATCTCCTGGTAGAATGTGATTGCATAACTAATCGGTATGAAAAGTTCGCTAAAGCTTTGTTTAAGCCCCTGGTTTCTTGTGTAAGTTTTGGGGAGTTTTAGCCCCATGGTCGATGACTAGAAGATTTTCACAGTGTATGTATTGTCGTTGCCATTGATATTTTAGGTTAATTATTCATTGCTTTATTACTATTAGGGGTGGAAACGAACCAAATAATTAACAAGTAGTTTGTTTATTGTTCGTCTTAAGTATTCGGTTAAATTCAATTCAATAGTTTATTTAACAATAAATGAATAGTTTTTAGTATTTGGCTTATAAACGAATGGAATTAACCAATTGTATTTCAATTCATTTAATTATTAAATATTCATTTATGTTTTTTATACTTTTATATTATTACGTTATATCTTTTATGTTTGTGTAATATAATAAGAGCATGTCTGGCAACTTCGGATTATAATTCACTTGGCTTATAATCCATAATCCACAAATGGATTATAAGCCAAAGTGTTTTGTAAATTTTAGGGATTGTAATCAATTTTTATAGTAGAGTGTTTGGCAAATGGGCGGCTTATAAGCCACCATTATTGCCAAAATGACCAAAAAGTATTGAATAGGGTTGAAGAGACATAAATGGGGCTTTGAATTTTCTAAAATTGCCAAAATGACCAAAAAGTATTGAATGGGGTTGAAGAGACAAATGGGGCTTTGAATTTTCTAAAATGGTGAGACGTATATTAGTCTTTAACACTGTCAAACCTTGTGGCTTATAGGCCACCAAAATATAAGTTGGGGGCATCCTAGCTTTTTTTTGGCAACTTATTTTTGGTGGCTTGTGTGCCAAAATAAGCCGATGGCCAAACATGTCAAAGTGACTTATAAGCCACAAAAGTGACTTATAAGCTACTTTGACAACTTGCCAAATATGCTTTAAATTTGGCGATTGGTAGTGATGTGGTTACTTCTCATCCACTTATTTAATGGGGGGATGATCAAGTGGAGACCATTTTTAAATGGGCACTTTATAATGTATGGATGAGAAACATCCACGTTACTATAAAGTACCAAATTTGTGCTTGTTATCAAGGGGGAATGATGGTTATGAGGTGGCGGAATTAAAAAAAAATTATTTAAAAGTTGCTTGAAAGACAGGGTTTGAACTCACGACCTCTTATTTAAGATACTTGCGACTAACTAAGTGTGCTACTATGATATTCGTGAACGTTTATCAAATATTTAGGTATTTAACCAAATCAAATTTGAACACCCTCGGCTGGAATTCGGATTTGAGTTTGAAATTTTCCAAACTTACCAAATTCAAGTCCAAATACGGTCGTATATCTATTTGAATTTGGTTTGCTTCCACCCTTAATTACCATGTAATTTTCATAAATTCTATTCTTTTTAACATTTCCATTCTTTAATCGCTTTATTATTTTTTTAATTAATTGAAACCACCTTAGCCTTGCCTATAACTTACCTCATACATTTTCCTTTCACAACATTACATAGATAGCTTATGCTAGATCAAATTTAAGATTGTAGTAAATGTTATAACCAATCGATAATTGTGTTCATAGCTCAATATTTTGACTTTCTTTAAACGGTATACCATGCGATTGACATAAGTTTAACTATCGTTCATATGACATAATATTATCATGCTTAATTCATGTCAGTAACATATTAATAACTTAATCTCCGAGGCAATTTTTGCAGGATTCTAGTTGCGCAACTTTTTATCTGGATTATTCCGCTATAAGTCTGTCCATTGCTTAAAGTTTTGGGTTCTATTTTGTTATGAAAGCCCCATAAAGCCAAACATTGCCCTTCCGCTTCACTCCCACTTCCTTTTTCCATAACATTTTATGACTAGCTTCAGTGTTTCAAAAGCAGGTGCGTAGCCCGCCTAGGTGGCAACCTAGGTCTAGGTAGTACGTAGGCCGCCCGCTTTGGTCCTAAAAGTGACTAGGGGAGCATGAGCCACTTATGCGGACTGCACTGCTTAGGTCTTGGTCGTGATTTTATTGCAGTCTCCACGTCCTCCATATTCTGAATTCCTCTGACCTCCTCCACTAAGTAAGACCTCCGCTTTTGACTTTTAGAAGACCTCCTCCACTTAAATAAAGAAAGAAATCTTCCTAGGTGCTAGGTGTTAGTTCGGCGCCTACCGGTGCCTGCTTTCTATGACATTGACATTTGTTATCAATTGTCGTAACTAAGAAATAAAAAACGGGAAACTATCCTGCCGTGGTTCCCCCATGGGCCACTAGGCTCTAGGCGCTTGCCTAGCACTTTTTGTAACCTTGACTAGCTTACGTTAGATAATGTGAAGTCTTATAACTAATCTATGTTTGGTTATATACACTCTTATGGTTATAACCTTATTTTGACACAAATATAATTTAAGCAAGGAAAAGATTACAAGGAGAGATCAACTAAACTTAGTGGTCAAATTTTCCTTAGATTTAGTAGAAGTATGGCCCAAGATGATCAGAATAAGAACTACCTTGTCTTAGAACATGCTCTACTCTAAAACTTCTAGATGACGTAAGAGTCGCATAATATCTTCCATAACTCTTTTGCTTGTCCAGCAAGCATGATATGGATCAGTTTATGTTTCATTGTGAGAATGAGAGGGGAATACCCTTCAATGATCAGATCCCAACCAATTTATTGTAGACACTGATAATCCTTTGAGCAAATTGAATATGATTACATGACTTAGGTGTGTAAATTTGCCATACAGTTTGGTTACAACAAAGCCAATGTCAAACCTTTCTGGTTCTTTGCACCAGGAATTGAGCTTGTACCATGATATACCATGAATAAGTTTTGTACCCAGCTTAAATCATTTTTTCCAGATTGTCCAAAGGGATTACAGACTATAGTGTTGATAGCCTTTTGTTCACTTGCAAGCATACTTGCACACCTTCTGAGTCAAATGAATATAGCTGCAACATATCCTTCATTGTGTCCTGTCATATTATGCGTTCAACAAATTCATATGCTAATTTCTATTAATATATTCCTATGTAAGTATTATATCTTTTACTAATGGAATATGAAGCCTAGACTTTGAGCAGCACCTGGTAAACAGCTTAACTAGCAAATATTAGAATACAAAAGAGTGGCAAAGCAAATTGAGTCCTCAAACTTTAATATCTTTCACCGGCAATAGAACTCTTGCTTCTCCCTTCTTTTGCTACTATAAGTTGATTTATACACTAATTTTCTTTCTGCTTCGTATTGGAATCCCTGAAATCAAATGGAATATTTCAAAATTCCTGCCAGATTTCTTTGACTACTTTGCGAAGCCTTGACTAATAAATACAGTTAGTCTAGCATTCTTTATTGTTTGCTTTTGCTCACATTCCAATGATTCCATGGTTATACTTTAAATATTAATAAGAATTGATGATCTGCTTAGTTACTTTAGGACTTGTTTAGAAATATCAACGGCTAACTTGACATGTAACTTAATGCGCTACTTATTATTTTCAATTTGTTACATTTTTATCTCAAGTTATATTTACTGCATTGATTTTTTACTTTGATTCGGACATATACTAGGAATTTTATATTGTAGCAGTAGCAATTTCTACAATATCGGGTTAATATGTGCTCATCCCATGCAGTTCATTGGCAACTATCAGGAGTCGTCTGGCGCTAGAACAGGATGGGGTGCTGGTGAGTTGAATGTCATTTGCATATTTGTTATTTTGATGGCTTTGAGTTAATAAGTTTGTATATAATTTTTTATGATGTTTGCAGTGTTACTTGCTGAATCCGTTGCTCTCATTGCTGCTGCTACAGTTCATCGTGTTTGTATCACTACATGGTATTACTTTTCCATCATTGAATGCATTCCATTATACAATTTTTTTCAATACAATTTCATACATTTCGTACCATTATTCATCGTGTGTTCTTAGATTCATCGTGTGTTCTTAGAAGATACAGATCAATTTAATGAGTTAACTTCAAAAAAGCCTCGTAATTTTGGGGGTTTTGCAGATAAACCCCCTAACTATTTTAATTCCAAACCCCCCCTAAACTTAAAGGAGTTTTGCACATAATGCCCCTAAACTTCTTTTATACCATTAAACCCCTTCGAGAATTTTCATTTCAACCACCCAAGGGCCGGGTAACACTGTCAAGTCCAATGTGTACATGCCAAGCACGCGACTAGAAAAAGTAAAAGTGTCTTCATTAGTCAAAAAATTAATGGAAATAATAAAAAGGGTAACATGATGATTTTTTCATCGTCGAGGAGTATTTTTGACTTCTTTGATCATGCCAATTGCCAAGACACATGATTTGTTAGACTTGACGTTATTACTTTGGGGAGTTGAAGTGAAAATCTTCAAGGGTTTGGCAGAATAAAAGAACTTTCGGGAGTTTATGTACAGAACCCCTCAAAGTTCATGGGGTTCTTTAACTAAAACAGCTAGGGGGATATCTTCAAAACTCCCAAAGTTAAGGAGCCTTCTGAAATTAACGCTAGTTTAATTTATAAATAATTATTCATGAAACAACAACAACAACAACTAAGCCTTTATCCTAAATGTTTGGGGTTGGCTACATGAATCCTATTTTTTCATTCCCTTCTGTTATTGGTCATCTCCTCCATTAAGTTAGTCTTAATCATATCATTCTTAATTGTTTTTAACCAAGTCATTCTACGTCTATCTCTAGATCTCGTAGCCCCATTAACTCTAATTTTATCGCTTTTCCTAATCAGTGTACTAAGATGTTTTCGTTGTACATGACCAAACCATCTTAATCTTTCCTCTCTCATTTCATCCTCAATAGGCACAACCTCTACTTTACCACGAACGCACTTATATCTTATCCTATCTTTTAATGTATACCCACAAGAACATCGTAACATTCTCATTTCTGCTACACTCATTTTTTGAACATGTTTAACTACTAGCTATAGTCAAGGTTACAGAATATGCTAGACGGTCTAGGCGTCACACCTAGCGCCTAGAGCCTTGATGTTGAAGTGGAGCCTAGGTAGTTTTCTTATTTTTTATCTTTTAGTTACAATAATTGATATTATAATATGTGAATGTTACAGAAAGTGCTAGGCGCCAGACTTGCATTTAGTCAGATTTCTTTCTTTGTTTAAACTCTAAAATGGCGACGACGGAGGTTTTGTTGGAGGCTAGAGGAGGTGTAGGGGGTGTTTATAGTTGGAGGAGGCTGGAGGAGTTCAGAGGAGGTTAGAGGACATGACGCTTAAAGTAGAGAAAATCACGACTAAGACATAAGCGATGCGGTTCACATAAGTAGCTCACACTCCCCTAGGCGCTCTCAAGACCTAGGCGGGGCAGCATAGGCAAGCTCCTAGGGCTAAGCACCCGCTTTTTAAAACATTATATAGTTAAAGAGTTTTGGCATACATGCTTATATTTCTTAAGTCAGCTTGTTGAATCTTGTGTAGTCATTATCTGACCTATGTGATCAAATAATTCATAAGGTCAAAATCGATATGTTGTTTAAAGTATTCATGAAGTTCATTTCTTTTAAGCTATGCTATTGGATGTTATTTGTAGCTATATATGTTTCAATTTTGTTGCATTTTTCCTTTAGTCATTTGATCTTGTTGCTATTGAATGTATTTTCTTATATTTCTTGTTTCTCTAGATTTTGCATATTTCAAAACCTTTATCATTCTATACTATATAAAAAACATCGTGGGGGTGTTGCATATTTCTCCATATTCAACTACGTTGATGAGTTGTTTTTGGAGCGTTGTCCCCCCCCCCCCCCCCCCCCCCAAATTGATGATTTAAGGTAAATTTGCAACTATTGAGTTCATGAGGTTCAAACACTCTCTTAGCAATTTCATGAATAGCGAACATATCCCATCTCATAGAGTCTCTTAGCTACTTTTAGCTATGGCTTTCAAGCTCATCCATTGCTTCCCTTTTTTTAAAGCTATTTGTAGCCTTTAGCTTTGTGCTTTTGGATGGCTATGTTTGAATTGGAGTTAGTTATGAGACATGGTTGGGACAAGGAAACTAGATAGAGTGTGACTATAGGTAAGCAAGAAGTAAGCCATGTAATATTTTCATGGCTTGCTAGTATCCCTGTCAGCTTCCTTTTAGCTTTCAAGAGGGGTTTGGGGCCCTTTTGGTCTATACATAGCTCCAGGTCATTGTAAATCTACATAAGCAAATATATATTAAAATATAGGAAAGCATTAGAAAATCCGTATTCACGTAATTCTACATAACTCAATTATAGGATGTAATGTATTATTAGATTATGAAATGTCCAGCCACCTGCACTCGTAACGGCTACATGTTTATTATGAACTATGTGCTGCCAACTGCACTCATAATGGCTACATGGTTTTATGAGATTGAACGAAATAAAAGCTTTTTTTAATTCTCAAATAGTTTAAACTTATTCAGCATTTTAATTGTTAAGGAATGATGTACGGGTAAATTACTAAAAGTGCATAATCAAACTCCATAAGCAAGTATGACTTAGTCACTAGCAACCTGTGTTTCAAAAAGCTTTTTGAAACTCGCTTCAGAGCTTGCTTAAGAACATTTTGAAGGATAATCACTTCGAAACTCAAAAGAGAAGCTCTTTATCCCGTTACGCTTTTCCACTTAAATCTTACACTTCATCACTTAAAGCATAATTGAAGTGTCCGCTTCATGCTCCATGAAGCGCTTCTTTTTTTATTCTTGAAGCACACACTTTAGACAAGGTATGGACATATAAATTCATATCTAGAATTCAATATTTTCTATTCCTTAGGACCTGTGACTATTTCCTTGTCCATTATATTGTACTTTATACTGTATACTAAAGTTACTAGAGATGAACAGTTCTTGGCTACACTTCATCACCAATAACTTTATATAGAGTGTAATGTTGTAAATCAAAATAGAAAAGGTCACGTAGCCCAATGGTACGAATCACCAATATAAAATATGTGAGGTGACGAGTTCGATTACCGCACTTTCAATTTCTTTTATTTTCACTTAAATTAACTGTTTTTTAAAACCTATAAGTCAAAGCTTTATCTCATCTTTTTAGCCCATCCACGTCTGAAGTCACTCTTCAATTGCTTTTATCTATAAATCCAATGCATTATCTCCGTTATTTTTAAACCTATCGCTTTCTAAAGTCTTGTTTTAAAATATTCTACTCAATGTTATTGTATTTTTTATAACTTTCCTATATTTTGTCCAAGTGGTTACATATATTTTTTGTTTTCACTTAAAATTGTTTTGTTTTCACTACTAAAAAACTATACTTATACTTTTTACCTATAAACCCAAAGCTTTATCTCATTTATTTTAAACCCGACTACTTGTAAAAGTCACTTTTTGACTATTTTTTGCCTTTAAACCCAAAGCTTTTATCTTATTTATTTTTAAACCTATCCACTTCTAAAGTCACTCTTTGACCCATAATATTTCACCTTAAGTTATATTTTGTTGTAACATTGCTGAATTTTTAAAGTGGTTAGATATTTTTTTTCACTTCAAAATTTTTTTTGGTTGTCACTACAAAAAACTGTACCTATAAACAAAAAGTTTTATCTCATCTATTTTTAAACCCAACTATTTCAATAGTCATTCTATGACCCAAAATGTGCCATCCAAGTTATTGTATCTTGTTGTAATGTTATATTTTTGTTTTGTGTATTTCTAAACCAAAATTTAAAAACTTTTTATTTGACCTTTTTCACACTAATACTACAATATCGCACATGATCAATTCTGCTCGTTTTTATCTGGAATTTTGCACCAATGTAGTGGATGATCTTGTTTTTTATAAGGAAATTTAAGTTTAGATCGCGTGTCTTCAATATAATTATGTGACTATAAACAAGTTGTATATCTTATATGTATTTAATGTATAATAATTTGCGTCTTTGTATAGCATATTTGATTGTTATTTTCTAATCAAGACTTGAATGTATTTATATGTAAATTATTGTACCACTATATATTATATGTTGATAATATTTTTAAAATTTTAAATATACATATTTAACTCATGAGGCTTACCCTCATGTTTTGAAGCTAATGCCTTGCTTCGTAAAAAGGCCTAACACTTCACCTTGTGCTTCCGCTTTTTTATAACATTGCTAGCAACTACTAGAGCTAAACTTCAACTACTACTTAAACTAGTAAGTATAAAGTAACATCTCTTGACTAATAACTACTTGATGATTCATTTTTCCTCAATCCAAATAATCATCAAACAACTTTCCTTATCAAAATTGTGGTTTCCTAGGAGGAGCATGAGGTTCTATGAAAGTTTCTTGTATTTTTTAGGTTGGTCAACCTGATGTTAATCATGTAAAACTGTTGTTAAACTTATAGCCAAGGAAACAAGTTGCTACAAATTTCATCTTTTTATCATATTGTTTAAACTTATGCGACTAGGAGCTGATTAAATAAATCATCCTTGACTTAGAAAGAACCTGAAACAAAGAGAAAGATGATAAATTCATAACATATGACATTCACCTAGAAGGTATATACAATGCAAAAGAATAAATAAACAAATTCACAAAAATATATTACCTAGAGATGATCATGGTTCTATCTTGGAATAGTTCAAGTTTTATAGGTATAACTGTAACAGATATCAATATTAGCAATGTATTTGAACTCACATTCCAAAACTCGAAAAAAAAAACATTCAATAAAAGAAACTATATCAGCAAAAAGATGTAACAAGACTTCAATAACAAGTAAAGCCCTAAGCATAACATTGCATAGGGCTTTTTTTTTTCAAAGGAAAGCCTCTCAAAAAAAGGAAAAAAAGAAAAAGAAAAAAGGAAAGCCCTATGCAATGTGATGAGCTGAAATACAAGTGGTATAAGACATACATTCTACTAAATCTAGACAAGAGGAGACAGTTGTATGCATGCACTTATTTGTAAAGATGCATATATGATTTAAAATGTAAGCATGCATTATAAGCATGTTTTCATACATTGAAGGACTGTAAAATGTCAAATAATGAATACAATCAATCAATACATAAATTGTTTCAATGAGGAAATTCATGAAATATTTAACTTGATGTATATTTTGATAAAGTTTAGATGAAGTTCACTTTTGAACATAGCAAACTTACTAAAATGATTAAATTATTACATCCAATAAAACAGTTTGACCCCGAAAGTTAGAAAAACAAATAATTAATGAAGATTATCCAATAGTAATATATTATGCAGTGATTTTTAATTATGTAGGTGGGTTTTGAACTCTTGACATGGGCAGTATCAAACATATGAAGGGGTGTTTGTTTACCTAAAAGTGTGAAAGAGACTCACTTTTTTTCACTTTAGGTGTTTGTTTTATTAAAAGTGCATGTGAAAGTGAAATGCAAAAAATCTGTAACATCAGATTTAATGCATATTAAACTTCCCCTAAAAAATTCGAATATTGTATTAAAGTGGAGAAGTGGAGACCACTTTTAACTAAAAAATTTAAGGGACTAATTTTAAATAGTAAAGATTTAAGGGACTAATATAGAAAACTCCAAAAAATATTTCATTAAATACATGTCAAACCGAATTGGACCTACAACAAAAAACTTTTGCTTAACACTATTCGTGGGAAAAAGAATAGATCTAATATAAAAATATGTTTTTAATTAAAAGTGGTTCCTATTTTTTTTCACTTTCCTATGATATCTGTATATTTTTTTGGGAAGTTGAATATGCATTAAATCTGATGTGAGAGATTTTTTGCATTTCATTTTCACATGCACGTTCAATAAAACAAACACTTAAAGTGAAAAGTGTGAGTCTCTTTTGACTTTTATTTTTCACTTTCAGGTAAACAACTCCCCGTTGATGTGTTCGACAATGTAACCCCTTATGTGTTGAACATTGTCTATGTGAGAGCTCAACATAAGAAAAATTCACCCTATAGTATAGTAGTATTGGATAATCTTCATTAATCTGTCATGTGTGTGTTTTTTTTCCTAATTTCAAGGTCAAACTATTTTACTAAATATATTATTTTAATCATTTTGCTAAGATTGCTATGTTTTAAAGATGTGGTTTCCAAGTATCTTGCCAATATTAATATATGTCCTGGTGAAATCTATAAAAATTGAACTATTCCCAGATGTAATCATATTTTAGCTAGATAATGTTTTTGCTAACTTGTTTATTTAATCATTTGAATTTTACTTGCATTCCACTTGAATGTAGTTTGTTATGAAAATTTACCATCTTCTCTTTGTTCTAGATTTTTTTGTGAGTCGAGGATGATTTCTCTAGTCAGCTCCTAGGTTGCATAAGTTTAAACTACATGATAAAAAGACTGAATTTTTTACGAGCCAACAGTTTTGAGACTTGTAGCTATCCTCTTCCTTGGATATCAATTTAACACCAATTTTATGTGCTTGACATCCAGTTAACAACCGACTTAAAGTATTTCCATATCTTTCCAAGAACCTTATGCTCCTGCGGAATAAAGAAAATTGTTTGATGATGATTTGGATTGTGGAAAACTGAATCATTTATGCCCTAGGGGGAAAACACAAGAGCACATCCTTCTCCATCTTCCTTCTTCAACGCCTCCATGTACTTTTCAACTGGATTCAATTCTTACCATCTTATCTGCACTTGTTCAAAAGCACACCCGTCTTTGTATATTTTCCTTTCCATGTCGTCTCTCTCCATCTAATCTTCAACTGGAACTCAATTCTCACTCTTATCTGCACTTGCAATGCTAAAAGAAGAGCAAGGGGAAGAAGCACCAACAATAGCATGACAAACATTAGCACTGGGCTCACATTATTTAGCAACATTAGATGCTCTCTGTGGGTTATTAAGCTTCCTTGATCTTGAAACTTCTGCACTGATACACATGTCAGTTCCAGTCCTTGGAAAAACCTTCTCTCTCATCATATGAAGGTACATTCTTCTAGAAGCCATGGCCAAGCATTATGGTTCCCTTTCTGCACAAGCATACATCTTGTTAAATCTCTTAATCGATTTTGCCTCCTTTGCTTTTGTTCTAGCAATGAATTTTATTTACCGTGGGTACTAAGTCTGTCAGACAAATCTTTTGAACAACCTTTTTTATGCTAATTGCTGGTCTACTACTATTTGATTAATTTGGTATTGTGTTTCATTGATGTCCCTAACCGCTATCTGTTTCTCATGCTACAAAATTTTGATGGAAAGTGGATTGGCCTTCTGAAGTACTATTGATGAATGTCTATATAAATTAGTTGTTCATATGACCCTATAACACTCACATAAATAGAGAAGACAGTATACGCACCAACAATGCACTCACATAGTTCTCCTATCCACCTCCTATACATTGCATAATTCTATCTCCTATCCACCTTCTTTACATTGCATAATTCTATCTTGTGTTGTTTTTTTTTATTCACTTAAGAGTAGGATTCATGAACCGACCCCTAAAATTTGGGATTAGGGCTTTGTTGTTGTTGTTGTTGTTGTATATAACCCTGGAATTATCCCTAACAGATTAATAGTTTTGGACCAGTAATAGCTAGGTGCCAGACCAGTGCCAGCCGCCTAGGCTTCTAGGCAGTTTTTTAAGTGATGGTGGGGGAGGTTTTGTTGAAGGCGGAGGAGGTGGGGGAGGTGCTCGTGATCGATGGGGGAGGTCAGAGGACGTGGAGGCAGCTTCGGAGGAAATCATGACCAAGACTTTAAGCAGTGCAGTCCGCATTAGTGACCCGTGCTTCCCTAGGTGGGAGCCTAGACCGCTTTTAAAACATTTTTGGTGATGCGCACGATTAATTTTGTATTTTATGTAATATGCGTATTATGGCATATTCCGCGGTGCCTGAATTAACAGTGTCATTTCATGGTATAAAATGGAGAGATTAAACACTCTGCGTTGAATCATGCATTCTTAACCCTGAAATTAATCATCTGTTTTCTTTCTTTATGTGCAGTTTCATATTTTCAGCTGGATTTCTCTACGAAATTAACAAGCTTTCAGCACTGATGCTTGCGAAGGGTGATACAAAAGTGAAACGGTACTAAGGAGAAACGTCCTCATGGCCTATGCATACAAGGAATCATTTTACTGCTCCTTAGTCTACAGCAGGATGTTGAAGTTTTTATGAGTTGATATCTGTTATTGCCAAGCATCTCCTTGTGATCTTTGTACTCATAATTTTGTAGAAGCAAAAGCTTGAGAATATTATCCCCATAGAAGAAACACCGAGAGTATTTTCCTTGTTATCATTTATGATGGCGAAATGGATGTATTTGGTCAAATTGCCTAATCTGAATTTTCAAGTTGCAATTGCTAGGTTGAATGGGAATTTCGTGGTGCTAATTCGAGGTGCATGTGTTACCTGTGTGCAGTATCCTAAACCATATGGGCATCAAACTTTGACACAATATTAGTTTTTGGTTGTGCACGCTTTCAGGCATCCCGTTGGATGATAGTAACTACCATATATTTTTCGTGTTGACATCCAAATAATATGGTAGTGTTATTCTCGATCTTTATAGTTGAAGTAAAGCTATGAACTCTGGATTTGAGCCATTCTGTGAGGATGTTGTTGGCTCTTCTGAGACCTATCTCCTGTTGAACCATCTTCGCCTCCGATTGTCATAGGATGGTCTAAATCTTTGAATGAATTAATAAACAAATACATTAATAAATAAAAAAATAAAATAAAAATAGGGTGTATAGTTCTTCAACTATAGATTGTATTTTTTTTTCTCTGGTCGACTGAAGCATGATATGAAAAACATGGTTACTAGTTTCTGTTTCTAGTTGGTGGTCTTCTGTTTGATCCCGCATTCCTGCTGCATTATTTAGTTCAAATTTTGATTAGTGAAGAGGGCTCGGATAATGAAAAAGGGATTATTATTATTATTATTATTATTATTATTATTATAAATAGAGCCTTCGTATTCCCAGGTTCTTCATAAATTGCGAAAAAGCTTTAACTACCTTGATCATCGCATAAAAGAGACCTTGTATGACTTCGGAGAAATGCAAATTGAAAGAACTCGTATTGCTTTAATAAAATGTTACAACATACACCAAGAGGGGGGGAAAACTTGGAAAAATTATACAACAGCCACCTAACCTTGCAAAAAATCACAGAATCTGGCCTAACAACTGATTACCAAAATCTTACATGCTTTCTTTATCCCCAACTTCAGGAATGTGTTTCTATATTCATTACAATCATACAAGCTCCATTAAAAGGGGATCCCCAGAAGACATAACTCTAATCAACTTGATGAATTCAATCTCATCGTGAATATCCAAGGGGTAAACCGCAGGTACTCGAGTAGAATAGACATTAGCCAAAGAAGAATTGGCTGGTTTTTCGGGACTGTACACAATATTTGAGAGAGCTTCGGAATCATAATTTTGTGGCGAATCCATTGCCAAGAAAAACATGGGCACTGCGACTTTGTGGTGGATATTCATATCTCCAAGAAGCCCCACGAGATCAGTAAAGTCACCAGCGTGACGTTGAGGAATGTAGAAAATTTCACTGCCACAGATGATCAGTTTGTTCTCTTCTGGCATGGTTTCTTTGTAACTAACTTGGAAATGAACTGGAAAATTGTTTACAACTTGTTTCACTAGTGCAGCTTGTTTTTTAAACCATTTGGAGCTATTCTCATCTATTGTGACGGAAACCCAAGACTTAGATACCTGTAAAAAGATAGCACAAAATCCAATTTATTAATTTTAGCATCTTCATCATGATCATCGTTATCATCAATATCTAAGTATTTTCTCCTCAAAATGGGGATGACTAACGTAACAAAACTAGAAGTTGAGGAGGTTGCACAAAAAATTGCCCAAAGTTCTACTGCCATGTAAACTTGATTCTTAATGAATTGGTGGCAAATATCTCGGCCAACATATGCTACAAGTTAGGGCTATTTGGATATGTACTTAAGACCAATCTTTGTAGAAGGCCAAGGTCTTGCAAGAAAGGAGAAGCTCTCCAAATTCATTATAGGCTTGGTAAAAGTACAGACAAAAAGGAAAATAGTGGATAGGCAAGGATACAAAGGCAATAAAATCATCAATAAAGGAAGTTACTGTTACCTTGTTGGTGATCCACAATTTTCCCTTGTTTGCCTGCAAGAGATTCCAGTAGTTGAGAATCATATTGTCCTGAAGGAATAAAAATCCCTCAGCACCAGCATAGCGTTCAAACACTTTGGGCAAGTACCTGTCCAATTATTAGCTTATATTAGTATTTTTCAAATTAGTGCAACTTTTCAAACAGTAGTTTAATCTAGATAATGAACATAATTCAGTAATACTTTCTCAATAATATTGATAAACTACACAGAAAATCCAACCAAGGAAAGGGTGAAGTTCATATTAAGCATACAAGCAGCATAAATTATTAAACAAAAATATAATAGTATAGTAAAAGAAAAGATGAACTGTGAGATATACTGAAGCACTTCCATGAATATGACTGTACAATCCTTATATAGTTATACACAATAAGGCTGGAGCTTCTATAGGACGTTAGCTCGAGGTTGAAAACTACATTACAAGTACTGTGAAATAGACATGCATGAACAGGATGATTGAAACCAGTTATACTGTCAAACAACAATGCAGGTAAATCCGTAAATGAATCAAATCCAGTTTGATGTATGTATCTACTAAAGAAAAAAATTGTCTTCATTGGTGAAAACTGCATTTCCCACTTTTAATACTTGTAATCAAACATGTACCAGGTTCCACCAGAATTCATACTGAAAAGTTATCTAGCGCTAAAGCAATAGAATTAACCTCATATATTGGTACTGCTAGAAGCTAGTGACTTGGTCATTTAAACTCATAAAACAAGGAAAAATAAGAGATGAACTTAACTCCACACCATCTGAACTCCATGACTAAATAGGAAAATGAAATCCAGAACCTCAGTGTCCTGTAAATCCTTATTTTGGTAAGCGGGAACAACTCATGCTATCTTCAGTCATTTAAACTCGTAAAAAAGGGAAAAATAAGAGAAATGAACTTAAATCCAGACCATTTGGACTCCATGACTACCTAGGGCAATGGAATCCATAACCTCAGTGTCCTATAGATCCTTAGTTGCCATCTAACCAGAAATAACTCATGCTGTTGCGCAAATGAATAGCTTTGAAAATCCAAGGAGGGTTCGTGGTGGCCTGTAAGATACTTGGCACACAACAAGTATTAGTTGTAATATCCAAATGCAACATGATAAAAAGAATTTGCATCTGCAAACTTCTGATCTAAACCAATTCAAAGGTAAATAATCAGCTCACGTTATAGTTGTGGATTGTGAAAATAATTAATACTTCGAGAAAAGTCGAGAATGTATGAAATTGCTCGCAAAAGCTTCAAAGCAACTAGTTATACTCCACAATAAGATTTTTATTTATCTATAGCAACCTGATAGTTTAGTATCAAATAGTGAGGTAACTCCAGGCTTCAACTAACCTTCTCGTCTCTGACACCATTTTTTGGCTATTACCAAGATATTGTAATCATAAACCACTCTAGGAAGAGAAGTTTATCCTCCTTAATTTAATCTTGTCCAATGACTAAAACATAACTGACTGTCTCTTGATCTAGAAAATAATTGGCATGGGCTAAACACTTGCTCCTTAATTTGACCTTCTCATCATGAACTTTGTTCTGCAGTTATTTCACAAAACTTACTTAATCGCAAATTAGTGGTTACCAAGTCTGTTTCACTCTGATATTAATCCTCACATGGTCCACACAGAACATATGCAGGTCATAAAGGTATTGGGATAGCTCAGGTATAAGCCAGATAGACAAACAGATCATGTTAGGTGGCCAAAGCTAGGAGCAAAGCTTTTGCATAAGTTGGGATTCTCTCTAGGATTTTCTATTCAAAGTTCTGGAAGTTCCTGTCATTCCATGTGATACATGTGTAGATATAAGAAGGATTAAAATAAAAAAAAAAGTAAAAAGAAAACTGTCAAATATAGGGGGAGAATAAAACTACAAAATTAGGAAATATCCAAGATCTTTTACACTGATACCGCATAACTACTTTGGAAAGATATGGAAAACAATCTTGTAGGATGTGCGACCATGGTAAAGATGGCACACATTTACACATATGTTGACAAAACACGCGATAATGAGCACCTAACGAGAGATCATATAGTCCCTATAGGAATGAGCAGCTACTTTCCGTTTTTTGAGGACTTAAGATCCACGATATCGAATGTTCCTGAAACATCAAATTAAAGATTTTCCCACTGCATTTTGCCATACTCCTGTCACCTTGACCTTCTGCATCCTCTTCAAAATACACCTTAGATTTCAGTTATTGTTCCAAAATGTATTACATATGACCCATGATCTAATCTCCATCTTTTCGGTTACTAATTCAGCAAATGCATAAAGATCATAAACATTTATTTATTGGTTAACTTTTCCAGAGTCATTCACTCAAATATCAAACCATATCATCCATCACCAAATACCAGTACGACCCGACCCAATGTCCTTTTGCTTCTTTTGTTCTAGTTCCTATGAAGTATGGACATGGATATGACATGATACAGACACAAAATACTACAGATTCTGAAAACCAAGGAAGCGAGTAGAACATGGATATGGAAAAAAATAAAAATAAAATAAAGGTCTAGGTAGTTTCTTTTCAAGCTAAGCAATCATATATAGAAACACCTCGATTTTGAAACATCCTATTACTTCATTGGGTAACTAAGTTACCAAATAAGTTCCTCACTTCCTCCAAGTTTGATGGAAAGAAATTTAAAGGTCTATTTAGTTTCTTCTCAATTGAAGCAATCATGAACTGAAACTCCTTGATTTGAAACATCCTATTACTTTGTAGGGTAACTAAGTTATCAAACTAGTTCCTCCACATTTGATGCAGAAGCCATAGTCAATGGATGACAAGCTACTCCAGGTTATTCATGGTTAACACAGCCAGAGAGGACACTATTAGAGAAGCTGAAAATTCTGAAGTAATCATAGCTAAAAGGAAAGGGGTACTCGACAGTTGAAGGACCTAAATAAGCCTATGCATTATCATACTTGCACATGGATTAAGAAGTTTATTTTCTACATAGCCGCCAATGTTATCTGACTCCAGTTCCCACAATCATCTAAACCTTAACATGTTCTTTGACGGTTCAAAGAAACTTACAGTAACTAACTTTTAGGCTAAAGCAGCTTATTTAGGAACAAAACCTGGGTGCCGAAGGAACTGCCTCAAATATAAGAGTAATAAATATAAGCTTACCAAAATGAAAAAAGATAAAAGATAAGATGCACTCACTTGTATGCATGGGACAACTGACCATCCTCCACAACCAAATCCACATTCTTCTGTTCTGAAAGGATTATAACAGTTTTGAATATCCTTCCATAGAGCAACCTCCACTCAAGAGCAGTACGCTCCACAGGCCCACTGCAGTACATTACAAGCACCACATTCCCAAAGTTCTTCCTCCACCTAATAAGATTCCCAATCTCATAATTCACCGTTCCAACCTCCTCAACCCCAAGATGCACCGATGGCAACTTTTTAGGCACAAATTCCCTCCTATCTCCATGCCCAATAGTCGCCCTTGGCCGATCAAGCTCCAATGACATCAACCTCGGCTGCTGGTACCCAACCGACAACAAATCCTGCAGCCAAGCAGCAGTAAACTTCACATCCAACTCCGTCCAAAAGCCCTCCTCAGCCATCGCATAGCTAAGATGCAAGATCCTCTCAAACAAAGTCGGCTTATTCGACCTCCAAGACAGTAAGAACTTGATCAACCTCCCTACGTTGACATGAAGATCCTTCTCCTCAGCAAAAGGGTACGACTGAGCATTATCCACCCGATGAATTGTTGGAGGATAAACTGCCACAAACCCACCAATCTCCCACAGTATCCTCTGTGCCCAATACCCCCTCAACACATCCGAAGCCATAGAACTAATCGAAACAGGCAGCATCAACCCCCAAAAAGCCTGCGAGTGAAACAAAGTATTGAAAGAATTCACTGGTACCATAGTCCCCTGAGGCAACGCCACCTTTGGCGCATCATCATCAAACCTAATGTCAAAAGCCTCCAACCCAGACGACTTACGGGTGAAATAGAACACTGAATCGACATCCGGCAAGCCATTAGACAAACCCTGCTGAATGAACTGCTTGCCACTAAACACCTCAGTATAAAACTCCTCATGTCCAACTTCCCCTACATTCTCAAGAGGAAGCCCTCTCGGCCAAACCGACCGCTGTCCGAAATGCACGTAAGGGTTCACCACAGTCCTGTTCGGGTCATGGTGACTGTACTGCAACAAAACAGGATGACTAGTTACTTCTCCAATCAGCTCAAGGTCGAAATGCCGGCCAAGATCTCCATCCCCAAGCACATCAGCACGGTCATCAGCGTCGAAGATCTTACGGGCACCATGCCGGATGGCGAAGAGGTACCCAACAGACTTCCTGACATACGAATTGTACGGCAAGTGACCGGTGATCCGAAACCCTAGCTGGGCTTGAAGCTCGAGGGAGAGAAAGATGGCGCCTTTGAGCGACCAATCTTGAGGAGTGTGGGAGTTGCCCACAGCAAGAAGCTGCCAGCCCTTCACGCGGGCGAGCCGCTGCAGCGACGGAGTCGGGTGACTCGACACCAGCAAGAAGCTGCCAGCCCTTCACGCGGGCGAGCCGCTGCAGCGACGGAGTCGGGTGACTCGACACCGAGACAACAATCCATCGATCCGACCGGAAGGAAGCAAAAGGCGAGGTAGGGTTTAGGGGAGGCAAAGGTGGGATCTTGTTCCAATCAATTCTAGGGTAGTCAATCAAAGAAGAGGGGTTTGGGGTCGAATGCGAGCGCTCGAAGCAGAGGAGGGCGGCGGTGTCACCAATACTCGGCAAAAAGAACACGGCGGCGACCGTCGTAACGACCAGCAACAAAACGATGGCGAACCTCGACGAGTTATCCGAGGTCCAGGAGCTCGGATCCAGGATCTTGCTCTTCCTCGGCGATCTCTCGGGACGCGAGGGTTTCGGAGCGGATCGATCCTGGACCAACATCGTGTCGACGGAATCGAAATCGAAATCGAAATCGAATCGATCTGGGGCTAAAACCGCAGTGAGATCTCAGGGTTTGGTACTGCCGACAGAGGAGTTGAGGCTTCGCTTTCAACGGAGGTTAGAGATCTGGCGGTTGGTGGTTTGGTTGAGAAGAGATTGGTGAAGTGCGAGATTATTTTTTTTTTTTTATTCTTGTCTTTTCTTTTTCCTGTTTCGGGTGAAATTTTAAATGGGGGAAGATGATGCTCGAAGGAGACAGTTGAGCTTTAATTTGTTTTTTTTTTTCTTCCTTTATTTTATTTTTTTCGGATTTAAGTTGTATTGGGAGTTTTGTGGTGATGGCGCTGTTGGCGTCAGCAGCAAGCGTCGCCAAGTGGGTTGAGCGTGGGAGCATTTTCAGGGCAGTGAAGTGACTGTTTGTCAGGGGGAAGGGGAGACGGACTAATTTTTGTTTTAGATCTTTTAGAAATTTATTTTTAAAAATAGACTCTTTTTAGATTTATTTGCAAATTTCGACTTAGTTTCAGCCATATTGCTAAAACTTGGTCGAAATTTTCGAATAAAGTTAAGAAACTTCACGGGATTTAGAACCCCGTGAAGTTTAGTCCTTAATTAAACTTCATGGGATCCTAACTCCACGAGATTTTAAATCCTAGGGAGTTCAATATAACATGATTGTCATAGTTGACCAAGTGGTTAGCTTAATGGTGTGTTTGGGAGTTTACTTAGGGAAGGGAAGGAAGGGGAAGGAAGGGGAATTTTTCCCCTTCCTTCCCTTCCCCTCCATTACACCCCAATTTGGGGTGTAAGAATTTGGCTGAGGCAAGCTTTTTGGTTAGCGCTAATTAATTAAGGACATAACTTCACGGGATTTTTAATCGCATGAAAATTTTCAACTTTATTCGCAGATTTCTGGCTAAACCTGGGTCAAAATTTGCAAATAAATCTGAAAAGGGTCGATTTTTGGGAATAAATTCCTAAAAGGGTCTAAAACGAAAATTTGTCCTATGCTAAATAAGATATCTTGGATCATCATCATATACGAGTTAGGGGAATGTTTTTCATGGTTAATATTACCCTTAACTTTTTTAAAATATTATATTGTTATCCTAATCTATTCTAATTTTCCTATCTTCTTTGAATTATAATTAAATGATTTATCCTATCCATAATGAGACTTAACATGTTATTGGATAAAGGAGATATGTTTGATATAATTCAAATCTTTTACTTATTTTATTTTGTAGAGAAATCTAAAAAATAAATGTTAGCCTAAAAGTTTTTGGACCTTGTAAAAAATATCCTCCAAGTTTTTAACATTACAAAAAATACCCCTAAAAATTTAAAATTTTATTAAAATATCTTGAAAATTATAAATTTTACTTATTTCAATTCAGTGAGAAATCTAAAAAATATATACTAGCTAAAAAATGAAAGTTTTTAATATTGGAGAAAGTGTCTTGTAAGTTCTGAAAAATACAAAAACACTCCTAAAAGTTTAAAATTTGTAAAAAAACACATTGAAAATTTTAAACCGATAAACACACTAAAAACCTACAAATATCACAAACAACCCCCAAAATTTTATGAAATTTGCAATAAACACTCTAAATTTTTTACAAATTACAAGATAAAACCCTCAAGATTGTAAAATTTATAAAAATCCTGATAATTTTCAACCTAACATAATTATCAGGAATTATAAATAGGATTGAAAATGTTGGACCCAAGAGGGGGAGTGATTAGGATCAAGAGGCTATATTTATGCAATAAAATTAAGGCAAGCAAACCACAGTATTCTAATACAATCAAAATAGAGGAGATAGAGTTAGGAATCGTTATCCTGTGACGCGCGATATGTTAACGAGGTTCTCGGATCTGGGTGACCCGCGGGATGGAGGGTCGGATTGAAGTGTCCTATGGCATGGAACTTCGTCTACACAGTGTAGGCTGTCAAAAAATCACAATAGATAGTTGATCCCCATCAAAACACCGATGATAAAAGTTACAATCGGACGACTTTCTAATCACTACAGCCGCAACTCTACAATCGCTACAAACACGGCCTCATCTCTGAGGTGATTGATCTTGATGGCTGCGACAACAACATGACTAATATTATATTAGAAAATGTTAGAGATGCTGATGAGCAGCGTAATGATTTCAGAAATAAAAGGTTGGACTTAGTTGGTGAGTTGCTTGGTAGAGAGCTGTGGGCAAATATTCGTCTAAAAGTCAATATGGATGATTGATTCCCGTCAAGTTTCAACAATGAAAGCTACAATCAAATAGCTTTCGTGCCGACAAATGAAGGTTGCAAATAGAGGACTTTTCACACAGATCGAGAAAAGTTACAATTCAACGACGCTTCCGACAGCTGATGAAAACTCTATTCAGTTACATTCACAATCAACAATGAGAGTTACAATCTGACGACTCTCATATCCTATAACAGGTAAAGATCAATAAGCGGTAGCCTTTGCAGTGTTATAATGGACGAGGATACAAGTCAACAACCTCTCTCAAACGCAGAACTCACCTCTGCGTTTCTCAAATTCAAAACACAGACGAACTGTGCGTTCTCCAACAGACATCCAACTCTGCAACGCAGAGTTAAAACACAAAACGCACGAACTGTGCGTTCTTCGGCAAACACTCAACACTGCATCCCAAATCCAGAACGCAGAGTTGAGAACTCAACGCACGAGCGGCCTGTGCGTCCCAAATCTCTAACAGAGATTTAACTCTGCGTCTCAAGCTTTGGACGCAGAGTTAAAGCCCAGAATGCCAACTGGGGCGTTTTAACTTGTTCAAACACAGCCCGAACGGCCTCAAAACCGTTACCCCACGTTCTGAGGGATTTTCGCCCACTTAGGAGCGGATTTAGGGGTTGGTTACACCCCTAATCCCCCTATAAATAACCAACTTACTCAATTGAGTAAAAGGGTTGACGTGTGCTGGCATCAAAACCACATAAGGTTAGCAAATCTCGGCAGTTGAACCGCACAGAGAAGGCGATTTTCTAAGAGATCAAAGAACTGATCATCAATCAGTTAATCAAATCTTAAAGAATCCCTTCACCAACAACGGATTTACTTGGCTATTAACCGAATCTTCGGTTCTAACAACTCTGTTACAGAGTCTCAACTAGCTCTGAGTTCTGAAACTCGTTTAAGAGTTGGTAATTAAACTCGCAACGTAAGTTGATCACACTAATCAATTTTTCGGTCCTCAACAACTCTGTTCAGAGTTTTCAACTCGCTCTGAGTTTATTAAGCTTGTTAAGAGTTCTAAATCGAATTCATCAAACAAGTCAATCGTTCCAGTGAATCAAGATGGTCGGATTGTCAATGGAGAGCAAGTTCGACACAATCAATCGAAGGAGGCACTCTATCGCTACCAAGAAGAACCCGGTTTTAAACAAAGGGGAGAATCAAATTCATTCTCCTCTCTTTTGTAATCGGAATCCAAATTGTAATTGATTTTGAGAGGAATACAAGTCAATTTTTCTTTCATTGTCTTTTTACTGCAAATTTCTAACAAACAAAAGATGGCGACTCTGCTGGGGACTAGCTTCTCTGATGAAGAAGTGGTGGCGCAATCTGACGTTCACCTCACTGGGACCACCGTCAAAACTCTCGTCGTAGAGTTTGACCAAGCCAAGTATGAGGAGGTTCTCTCCTCTAGGTCGCTTAGCCCTAAAGCTAGGCGTGATACCCACAAGATCTCTAAGGAGGTCGTCACTACTGCTGAGATGCCAAAGAAAGCCCTCTCCTTTGGCCAAGACCTTAAACTCGCTCTGCGAGTTGAAGACTCCTCCCCCGTATCACTACGGCACATAATAGGTCAAAAGAGACCTATGTCGGAGGAAAACCCGACCAACGCCGACGACGCTGCGGCCAAGGCGTTGAAACAAGCTAAGAAAAATGCCGCTCGACGAAGGAGAAGATCCATACGGCGAGCATATCTGCGGAATAGCCGAGCTACGGCCCAACGCAAAAACTGCGTTTCTGAAATCTGCCTGAACTCTGCGTTTCTGCTCCAGAACGCACACTTCGTGGCAATGAACCCGACTATGAGCCTCGGGTTATCCAGCTCAAACGCGACCCTCAGTGGCGCGTTGTTCAATCCAGACGCACACCTCAAGAGTGCGTCCCAAAACATGACCTCCAAAGGCACGTTCAATCATCCGAACGCACGCCACAGCCGTGCGTTCAGTCAGAACACGGCCCTCAAGGGTCTGTTCAAGCAGCCAAACGCACACCACAAGGGTGCGTTTGTCCAAAACACGACCCCCAGGGGTCTATTCAATCATCCAAACGCACACCACAGGTGTGCGTTCAATCAAAACCAGACCCTCAGAGGTCTGACTCATCAACCAAACGCACATCACAAGTGTGCGTTCAAACAAAGGACGACCCTCAGGGGTTCGTTTCATCATCAAAACGCACACCTCAAGTGTGCGTTCAACCAAAACAAGACCCATATGGGTCTGTTTCAACATCAAAACGCACACCACAAGTATGCGTTCAATCAGGACAAGATCCACAAGGATCTGTTCCATCAGTCAAACACAGGCCTCGACCTCGTGTTTATAAACCTAAACGCGATCCTCGTGTTTCGTCTCAAGAACACGACATGGTCCGTAAGGTTCAAGAGGGACAGCATGGATTTAAGGTTCATGTCCAACCCACCCAAGGGCAGGGGGTTCCATCCCCACCTTCACGAGATCTTTCTCAGGTCTTCGACCTGCGTGAATTGCTGTCAAGAGGAAGGCCAACACAGCAAGTGGCTCATTCATGCCAATGTGAGCGGCTCATATCCGCTGTCCTCTCTGAATGCAGCTGTTGTTCATCTACGCCTAGACAGTCGGTGTTTAATAGATTGACGAATGTCGTTAGGCCTCCCAAACGACAACGTCGCCAGAAGAAGACCTCTGAAATCGATTATCTCGAGGTTACTATCAACATGATCGGCAGAGGAAAAGCCTCGCAGTCCGATTCGGACGAGTCACAAAGAAGTCATTCCCCAACTGTTAGGGAAATTTGTGATCAGTTCGAAGGAGTATATCGGAATACTCGGACTCGGACAGGAGCTATTCGCCCGGTTAACTATCAAAAATTAGCCAAAGGGATTACAACAAGTGACGAACATTCGGCAATAGCCGAATCTCAATCTTCGAGCTCTGTCGGAGCACAAGAGGTTTCTGCTTACATGGCGGGAAACCCCGAGGACATAGCCAAAAGAATGGACGAACATCATGTCATGCTCCAGGCGCAAAAGGAGACACTTCTCCAATTGAAGGACATGTTGGCCCAGCTCCTGGCAGA